CCAAACAGATTCTTCATAAAGGGCAGAAACACAGGGCAAATTCTCTCCATCTTTTGAAGGAAAATGACAGTCAAAATAAGACAAAGTATAATGTTCAAATGAATATCCTAAAACCTTTTATTTTTCCTTTTAGGAGATAAGTGCACTTGGAATCTTTTATCATGCTAAACCAAGCACACTTTTCTCATTAAAAAAAAAATTGCAATGACTACTATATACAATAGGGTAAATTTTTAGCAATTCCTTAATGTAATATACTTCTTAATAAAATTACAGTTCACTAAAAACAATGAATGAAATCACATATTCATTTCTATGCCAAATGCTTTTCAGAGCAACTTCATCATTGTAAAATGTGGAGAAATGCCATATAAATGCATAATTTTCAATATGTCATTAACTCTATGAGCTACTGTGTAATGCTAAGAAAAGAGAAGATGATGCTTTGTTTCTTTTAACTTTATTTTTATTGTTGACACTATTACAGATATCTCCCTTTCCCCACCTCCCACTTTGCCCACCTTCACCCAGCCCCTGCCCCCCTTCCATGGAAAAACAGGATCAAAGATGAGCTTGGTCTCCTCCCACCAGCATCTACCAAAAATAAGTTATTAGCAGCATATCTGGATGCATAATTCAAGTATTGATGTAAAAGTTCATGAATTCAGATTCTATTAGTTCAAAATGTATGATAATTTCTTCTATCTCATACATTAAAATTTCTGTTACTCCCCGGCTGGAGGAGGAGGAGGAGGAGGAGGAGGAGGAGGAGGAGGAGGAGGAGGAGGAGGAAGAGCCGAGTCCAGCTGAGCAAGCGTGGAAGAGAGGAAGAGAGGGATAGAGAGTTAGAAACATGGATCAGCTACTTCCTGCACACCCTCTATGGGGATGTGCCCGCAACCAGAATCGAACATGCCCTTGACCAGAATCGAACCTGGGACCCTTCAGTCCACAGACCAACGCTCTATCCACTGAGCCAAGCCAGTTAGGGCCTGAGAAAAGTCTTTACTTTTGCCTTCTGTGTGTTTGGACTCTCAGCTTTGTCAGGAGAAAGCAGGAGCCAACAGTACACCGATGCCTCATTGATCTTCCCTTGTGACTTCACCTCCTTCCTGTGACCTTGAGCGGGTTACTGCCAGCCTTCAAGTTCCAGGAGTTTGTTTTTACGCCCTCAACACAGACAGGTACCAAGCACTGACTCAGCTTTCAGGACTCTACCGAAGAATACCCCCTTCTCCCACTCTGAAGTCTTTGCTAGCATCCACTCCCAAACTCCTCTCAGGCAATGCCAACTTCTCCCTGGAGCCCTCAGCAGCCTGTAGGATTTACCACAGCATCGGGAAAAGGCTAACATCTTGCCCTGCTGTGTTGGTTCAGTCTTTACAACAGTCCTGTGAGAGAGGTGTTTCCATTTTACAAGAGTTAGGAGTCTGCGGATCATAGCAGTCTTGGCTTGCTCAAAGACACATTATTAGCAAATGACTAAATATTGATTTAAAACTACATTTTAAGAAATCTAAATGTAGTCCTTTACTTTTGCCACAATATCATATTGCCTTTTAAACTCTTTCAAACTAAGCTGTGGCACACTGGAAATGTCACTTTAGAATGCTTCCTGATCTCTCTCTCTCTTTTTAAAAAAAATATTTTTAAGGATTTCAGGGAGGGAGAGAGAGGGAGGGAGGGAGAGAAACATGAATGATGAGAATCATCTATGGGCTGCCTCCTGCACGCCCCCTACTGGGGGTTGAGCCCACAACCTGGGCATGTGCCCTGACTGGGAATGGAACCAGCCGCCTCCTGGTGCATGGGACAACACTCAACCAATTGAGCCACACTAGCCGGGCTATATCAGTGGTTTTTCATTTGGCCATGTATTTGAACCACGTCTGAAGATGTTAAAATAAATTGCCTGGGCTCTATCTCAAGTCTACTTAATTAAAACCTCACGGATCTCTATTTTGGAAGGTTTACAGCTAATTCTGATATGCAGTCAAGATTGAGAAGTACCGCCATATATTACATTTTGCATAAACATGTACTTATTATATGAAAATGAATGTCTTAATTTTTATATAAAGTTCATTTCCCAAACACACACACACACAAAATTCTGTTACTCATTATCACGCAAATTTTCAGTAATGAGTTTAAATACTAGTGCCTGAAATTCAGTCCTTTTTTCAAAACAACTAGGTCATATTTTAAGAATTTGCTTCTTCTAACTTGTAAATTTTAAAACTCTAAGAAAATCAGACAAATGAGACTACTCATGAATTATAATTTTCAACTATTCAAGTTAGTTTTACTTCTTAATATGTATTTAAACTTAAGTTATTTATCAATACTTTAATAATTAAATTTATTTTATTTAGAAATTATCTTGCTTTTTCATTAAGTCAAACTAGCTCCGCCACAATTATTTTGAACAAATAAGATTTTAATATCCCTGTATAGGCATATACATATACATAGTTTATTGCAAATTTTTGTACCATGGTCAAAATTTGGACTATATCATTTGAATAGTTTATAAAGTATGACACAAAAAAACAAAATGACATTATTTTACTAATACTGCTGAACTAAAGCAATACTAAATCTGAGGTAGTCTTTGAAAAATAAATCTAATGAAGTAAAATACTAACAAAAAGTCTGTGTATTGAACATTCTGACTACCTGAATACTGTACAAATGGAGGCTCCAAATAGACTTCAATGAAAAATTTATATATACATACTCAAATACTTTTATTTCTTATAAAACTCCATAAAATCAACAGTACAAAGCAATAATTAAAAGAAACAGTACAATATATACATAGAAGATTTAAAACAAGTATAACAAACAGTGATTATATAAGTGTTGTCCTCCCTCTATTTCCCAATTTGGGGTAATATTTTGTTTAAATTTATGGAAAAGTATATATATTTTTAAGCAGCAGTTTCTGGCATCAAAAAAGGAATTACAGGGGCAGTGGCCTGTCCTAAAATGACAAACCAAAACTGTTGGGTTCATAGTCATACTAAGCCGAAAAGATTTCACATTCCTTAGCACACAATCAATCTTTTATCAATAATGGAAACTGCCTTTGTGAGAATATTTGTTAAGAATGGATGGCATTCTCAATGTTGCAAGCACCCATTTAATTATTTAAAAGGTCAATAAATGAAAGACTAATTTAAAATGTTTCTTGAGTTCAGAGATACTTAAATTACAAAAGAAAAGACCTACATCTAGCATTTTCTCCAGAGCAGTCAGGAAGGATAGATTGAGTTTGTTAACTGTGGGCATGGGTCCAAATGCTTTACCATCAAAACTGTGAGAGTCGAGGTGCTGAACACACTATACAGTGTGCAGATGATGTGTTGTAGAATTATGCATCTGAAACCCGTATAATTTTGCTAACCAGTGTCACCCCAGTAAGAGGGGGGGGAACTGTTGGAGTTGCTTTCTCCTTGTCCAACTAATGATGTTAAGTCCTATTTGACTAATAAATTTAATTGTTTGCATGTTTGTTTGTATATCCATAATAATAAAAGTGTAATATGCAAATCGACCAAACGGCCAAATAGCAGACGACCATCTGGATGAAGCAGGGGCTGTGAGGGATCAAGGCAGCCACAGGTACCAGGGCTGCAAAGGCCTATTCTTGCATGAATTTCGTGCATTGGGCCTCTAGTAGGTAGGTAGGTAGGTAGGTAGGTAGGTAGGTAGGTAGGTAGATGATAGATAGATAGATGATAGATAGATAGATAGATAGATAGATAGATAGATAGATAGATAGATAGATATTGCTCCATAAAAAAGGAACTTAACCAACAATGAAATGAAACCTGATCTTCATGCTCACCTCACCCCAAAAAGAGATGCACCTTTGAATGGATAACTATAAAACTGCTTAAAGATAATATAATGTTAAGTAAAAAAAAGTATGTCTCAAAAGATCACATACAACATGACACCTTTTTTATAAGATTAAGATCAACTAAAAATACATGTACTTTGGAAGAATACAAGGAAATAAACCCCAATTTCAGGACAACAGTGAGCTTAAATGAGAGAAGGCTAAGAGACAGATTAATGAAAAAAACAATAAGGTTAGATTTCTACCAATAACAACATCATAGATTACTATATAGCTTTCATTTTGGGTTGGGGATTCCCAGGTGATTATGATATTAATTTAAGATAGATAGATAGATACATAGATAGATAGATACATAGATAGATAGGTGAAAGTAGACTAAGCATAGACCAATGGTGAGAGTGTGTTGTGAGCCAAGGATTATTGAACCTGAAATGAGATGACATAAAATGACTTGACATCATATGAAAGGAAATGAAAATGAAAATAAAAATGGTTTACCGTTTGTATACTAACACACAACCTACGATCTCTGAATCAACTCAAAAGTCACTCATCCAGGTTGTGTAATTTTCTGCTTCTATTTCCCTAACAATTTTCAATTGTGCTGCACAAAGTAACATGTTCTCCAATGGATGTGAGACCTTGTACCATCACCAATAGACCTTCTGCGCAAGGAGTGGTATCTACACAGGAGAGAAAAAAGTAGCACAGAGGAAAATGCTGTTGAGTCATCTAGTGACTCTCTGGATTAGGTCTGGCAGTCACCAAAAGCCTCTGAATAGGCAACTGGTGATTCTTATTCATTCATTCAATACTTATTAAATGCCGGCTACATGTCAGGTGTCATGCTGAGTTCCTTCAGATTTAAGATAGGACACGCTTAACAAATACTTGAATCCAGCTCCAGAATCAACATATTCCTCAGGTCAAAGAATCAAGATAACTCTTCAGGCCTTTTAGTTAGCTTCTTGCCCACACAAGAAAATGGTGAAGAAGCTCACTTATCAAGTAAGGTTAAATTGGCCTCCCAAAGTTAAAAGATGTCAAAGCTCTATTACCAGAATTGAGGGGGGAAAATTGCTTCTTCAACAGATGACATTTCATATGAGTTTGTTGCTGCTTGTTTTACCTGCAATTTCCAAAAGTGGGTTCATGTGATCTCCTTCTGCCAGCTTCACAAATCCAACCTGATTTCCAAACGTGTCAACCCCTTCAAAGGGCAAAATCAAGTGCTTTCCTTGAAGGATTTCTTCTATGAATGGTTTTAATTCCAAAAGAGCATCAATACCACTGGCAAGAGATAATATATTTTTCAGTAACATACTAAGTGATCAAATATACAAAACTAAACAAGAAACAAAGTAATCAGATTTAGAAAGATAAATTAATTTTGATGCTTGTACTAGTTGTTTTAAAGCACAAAATACCTTCAAAATCTAATCTATCTGATTAAAATAAAACTAAGGTTGATTTTTAAACAAAAACTATGGAAGAAGTGAATTAAGTCTTTACCTAATTATAATTTGTATTATATTAAAGACATGAAAGAAAATATTATTTTATAGCTCACCAGAAATTTTTTAACATAGGAAATACTGCATGCAAATTTCAGAAAAGAATTGCTGATAATATATTGCAAGAAACTTAATACCTTTGAGAGCTTACATTAGATTGTGTGGAAAGTTCTAGATTCTTTTTTAAAGTACTAATATTCTTTGCAAGGCACTCTACTGAAACTTAATATACATTATCTCTTAAAATATAAGTCTCCATAATAAAACAATTTACTGTACTTGCATTTAACAAAAATGTAAGTTTATATTCACCAAATGCAACTATACAAGTTTGTTACATCTGTTTCGCCTATGTCATTATAGGGTTATTTTATTTCAAGTCCTTGATTTTTCCTAATAAAAATAAATATTTACTATATTAGTGAATTAGACATTATTAGGCTTAGAATATTTTATAAATTAGGATCAATTATTTCCACTTTGAAGAGGATTTTGGTATAGGTACTTTATTATGAGAAAAAAATTAAAATCTCACTAGAGGGCAGCAATTACTCAAAAAAGAAATAAGTACATTCTTACATTGTTGAAGAGGGCTTTAAAACATCCTTTTGGTGAATACTAACAAAATTTAGGTATTTTTCTAGGTCTTTCATATCTCTAAATTAGTTTTCATATAAACTTTTTAAGTGTCATCTGTAGTTTCCATACTGAGACTCATTTCTGTCATAACATAATATACACTTAAAATAGCTCTGGAAATGTCAACATTTTCTCATTATACCTCCAAATCTACATCCTAAATCCAATCTTTCCCAACTGTATTTATGTTCATCCAAAAAGACAGAGTGTGCTATTCAAAAACAGAACAGCCACTTCTGGCTCATCTATCATACATGGAGGGAATTCAAGATAAACATTTTAAATATAACTATATATGAAAGCAAATCATGCTGAACGTTAGGGCTTTTTCAGAGACACTGAATTACATATCCCATTTTTCTTTAAATAAATATAGATGATTTAAACTCAGTTCAAATTTTCAGTCCCTAGTTGCATAAATCAATAAATGTGTTCTAATGAGATGTCATCAATCACAGAGTGAGAAGGAGTCATAGTATCTATGGTATCACTAACTTTCAAATTTTTTTAAATAACAACTTTTCAAGAGCAGTTTATGAAAAGACTTCTACATGGTAAAATTAGTAAAAAGTATACACATATAGGAAACAGAATTCTGGACCGGGAGTTCAGACCCAAAGATTGTATTTGAAGTTAAAACAGGACAGCTATTGTCCAAGGAAGAAGGAATCCTGCCATTGAACTCAAGACTGCAACATCAACTCTTCCCTGGGTCTCCAGCCTGCTAGCCTGTCCTACAGATTTTGGACTTGCCAGGGAGCTAATTATGTGAGCTAAATTTTAAAAATAAATCTAGATATAGGTATACAGATTAGAGATAGAGATAGAGGTATATCAATATATCTAGATATCCATATAGATATACATCCTATTGGTTCTGTTTCTCTAGCGAATGCTGACTTATACACCACTCTAACACACACAGGGCTTTGTCTTGTTGTGCCACATCTTTTGCTTCTTTTCTTATAAGAGTATCAGATTTTGTTTTTTTCCTTCTGACTGGCAAAGTGAACAGCTAAAGTGAGTAAAGTAAAATCTTCAAGTCCTCTCTGCCATTGCAGGGTGCTCAATATTTGCTCTTGGATAGATCAGGTTGGGGTAAATAAGAAGACTGATCTCTAAAGACATGAGGTTCTACTGTCTAAAACAGCCGTGGGCAAACTACAGCCCGCGGGCAGGATCCGGCCTGTTTGAAATGAATAAAACTAAAAAAAAAAAAAAAAAGACCGTACCCTTTTATGTAATGATGTTTACTTTGAATTTATATTAGTTCACACAAACACTCCATCCATGCTTTTGTTCCGGCCTTCCGGTCCAGTTTAAGAACCCATTGTGGCCCTCGAGTCAAAAAGTTTGCCCACCCCTGGTCTAAAAGATGTAACTATAAGAATCATAGTGTAGCTGTATATTTTCAGTTACTAATTTATTGTTTTCTCCCTTTACTTTCCCTTTACTCCACTCCCTTCCCATTCAAGCTTTGTCCCTCAGGAGACTCTATGTCAGGGTAGAAAAAAGAAGTAACCCTTCACCCATCCTGGCACTGGTTTTCCACCGAGCTTAAGCCTGAGCTTATTCCAGAGGGCATACAGGAGGTAATAGGAAAGGGAAGAGCAAGGCTGCTCCACTCCAGAGTGGAAAGCAACAGTCAGTGGCTTATTCTCAGCCTCATGGCACAACTCTGGAATGGGGGTGGGGGAAGTGCTTGTACACTGACCAAGCAGAATGACAGCTCTAACAGATAATAATATTGAGTGCCTACTAGGTACAGGCCCTATACTAAGAACTCTTACATGTATTGGAACTATTATTTTCTCCATTTACTTAAAAAGTAAATTTCTTTTTCCAAAATCAGACATCTTTTAAGAGGTGTTTGTGCCATAGTGTGTTCTAGAGTTTTTATCTAGAATCCTAACCTAAATGGTCAGACTCCAGAGGGCTTATATAATTAACATGGGCAAAAAACCGCATTGTCAAGGGCTACCACTAGATAACAAAAACAGAGTTTTAAAGTCTACATTAGACTTTAAAGAATATTTACACAGCTAATTCAGTACATTGACTACTGGTTGGAATAAATTAAAGAATACTTCTTTAGAATTTAAATGCCTTTTGGGTTCTGCTATGTTTATTCATATTAAAGTAATAATTTGATAAACAATCTTCAAGAAAGACATATTACTCACATGTTTACTTCATCGTCATTTAACTTCATCACCAACAGGGTAATATGAAAGGAACCATCACCGGTCATTGCCTTGGCCAGGCGCTTATCTTGTTGTATTACTGCATTCTGCAGGATCTTAATTCCTTTTGTAACCTAATCCACATACAGACATAGAATAGAGATTAGGTAAGCAAAATTTCCTTATGGCAAAGTGTAAATCAAGAAGAAACATAAATTCCCTAGCTGGTTTGGCTCAGTGGATAGAGCGACGGCCTATAGACTGAAGAAGAAACATAAGCAACCACCAAAATTAGAAACGTCAAGATTCTTCAACCAAACAAAACTGAGTTGTCTACTGAATTTGAACTCTCAAATATTCTAATAGGTGATTTGGATAGCTTAATAGGATGCATAAGTTTGTCAAATCATACAATGCTTATCCATCTTAAGAACATCAAGCCTAACACTGTTATTTTACAAATCGGGTCACTAAGTTGAGCAGAAAATCTTTCAATGGCCATGCATCTCTTCAGAAACTTGTCCTTGAATATACAGTATGGTTTACTATAATTAGGATCTTTCCTTTAAAAAGTTTTATTTTTGCACAGAATGATCAAGCCTTCATACAACAGTCCATTTCTGTTGGAAGTCATATTTATTAATCCCCTAGTGCCATGGTCAGCAAACCATGGCTCACAAGCCACATGCGGCTCTTTGGCCCCTTGAGTGTGGCTCTTCCACAAAATACCACATGCGGGCGTGCACATACAGTGTGATTGAAACTTCGTGGCCCATGCGCAAAAGTTGGTATTTTGTGGAAGAGCCGGTATTTTGTGGAAGAGCCACACTGAAGGGGCCAAAGAGCCTCATGTGGCTAGCAAGCCGCGGTTTGCCGAGCCGCAGTTTGCCGGCCACTGCCCTAGTGAATGTGTCTAAGAACCCATTCTTCATGGCTTTAAGATTTTTAAAACAGCAACAATTTCAATAGGGATGACTAGTGTCATTTTTCCAGACATGTGAGGAGGGAGAGTGGCAAAGAAGTCCAAACACGTATATTAGAAAAGCCCTTACTTACAATTTGCATCCAGACAAAACCCCAGGTCCTTTACCAGCCTTTTCCTCTCACTACCTACCCTCTCCTTTCCAGTTAGATCCAACTCTAGTCAACTTCTAAATGTGAGTGTACTAGAAAACAGTTCACATAGAAAACGGCAAACGAGAAAAGAGAGCACACAGAAGCCCTGAGGCAGCAGAATTAGTCAGAGAGAAAAGGCGAAGGGGAGAGACGGGCTGGCAACAAGAGCAGAGTCAGGAAAAAGGCAGCAGAGATAAGAAAACACTGAATCAGGAGCACAGCAGACTGTCCTTGATACCAGAGGAGCTGTTTTATCCTGAACAATGCTCCCATTATCTGAGGAATGTGACTGGGCAAATCCTGGGATATGTCCTGGGATGTGACTGCCCGGGTATCTTTACAATAAATGCACGCCACCCAAAAGAACCTCAGCATTTCTCTATTCCTTGCAATCTGGAGGACCGAAACACAGGAATCAGCGCTTCCCTGGTAGGAATTTACACAGTAACACCTAACATGATATTTTTCTACGCAAGATGTCACTTGTGTGACACCCAGTAAGAGAATATTGATGGCCTGTTAATAACATAATGTAACCGTACACAAAGATCTTATAGAGCCACAGTTTCCTCTACACGACACGGATAAAACTAAGTTATAAATTCCTCCAGGGCAATACCTATTTCTTCTACCCCACTACCTTACCACAGTGCCTGGTAATAATAACAAAAACATTTAACCAATGACACCAGTCACTAACCTGTATTGTGTGGCCACTAGGTTCTACCAGGGGTCCTCAAACTACGGCCCGCGGGCCACATGCAAATACAAATATTGTATTTGTTCCCGTTTTGTTTTTTTACTTCAAAATAAGATATGTGCAGTGTGCATAGGAATTTGTTCATAGTTTTTTTTTAAACTATAGTCCGGCCCTCCAATGGTCTGAGGGACAGTGAACTGGCCCCCTGTTTAGAAAGTTTGAGGACCCCTGTATCTAGACAGTATAGTAAGCTCTTTACACATACTAGTTCACTGAAGACTCTCTACAATCCTATGAGGCACACACTGGTATCATTTCTACTAAAAGAATTTGAACCACAGAAGTTTTTTTTTTTTAATCCTTTTACAATCATATACCCAAGACAGCACAAGAACTTGAGAAAATGGTAAATTGCAGTGCGTGGGAAAAGATGAGGGAGGCACTGGCAGGAAAGACCAGAAAGGGTGTGGAGGAGGAGATGTAGCTGAGAGCAATGGAGTAAGAGTTTTCAAGAAGGCAAGGAGAGGGTCAGAGATGTGGGTACTGACTTAAGAAATGAAACCCTGAGGGGAAAAAGACTTTTAAAGGAAGGTTTTGGGAAATCTTATTGGATACTGTGTAATGGAACAACACACTATCCCTCTCAAAACAAAGCCTTTAGTGTACGTTTATATTAAATTTGAATTTTGAGAGTTCTTCCCCGGTGCAATGAAGTGCTGAAATTGGCTTTTGGGAATAATGAAGCAGCTCAAGAAGGTCCAGGTTCATATGGAAGGGGCCTAAATAGGTGCTCAACAATGTCAGATCTCAAAACAATATCGTTACATCTTCTAATCTTAGCTGATACAATAGGTAATTCTGGCTTAACTGATAACGAAAAGGTGATTTAGGATGAGAACTTTGCTATGTAATACAGAGAGATGTAAGTGAGGGGTGCTGGACATGGCTCAAAAGTCCTGGATTTTAACCCCAGGCCTGCCACAGCTGTAACCCCATACAAGTCACCTAGTTTCACTAAGTCTTGGTTTCTCCCCTGGCAAAATGGGAATAATAAAATGTGTATTGCCAAACTTACAAAGTATGTTAAAGATCACAGTAGATAAACTACATAGTAGATGAACTACTTTGTAAACTCTATATCACTTGCCTAACCTAAGGTTTGCAACATTGCAATGTTATTAAAATCAGTGGTTCTCTTCCTTATGCAATTTTGCCTCCCAGGGGACATTTGGCAATGCCTGGCCACACTTTGATTGTCACAACTGAAGGTTTGCTACTTGCATCCAGTGAGTACATTATTTGTATTTTCTTAGTCGTAAAAACTTAGTTTTCATTCTAAGCTCAAATACCAATTATATATAAATTCAGGACAATACTCAAATTCCATTCATTTGTATATTCTACATTGTAGTGCAATACTGTACATGGTAAAATAGTTTTAAACCATTCATATCTTTGAATAATAAAGTAGGTTGTAAAGTCACTAATTAAAAACTGTAAAACACTTTGAAGACTATTTCTCCAAAGTCACACAGTACTTACAATGCAGGATTAACATCAAACCTATGAAAATTCTAAAGTTAATCTAATCAAGTTACATATGTCTGATTACTCTTTGATGGGACAGATTAATTTATATATTCCTTGATATCATCTTAACAGTTTTTAAAATACATTCTATTCCTAATTACATTCTTGAAAGATAAAAAGGAAAAATACTTCAAGACTCTGAAGTCTTGTCTATATGCTATTAAAACAAGTTCTAATGTCATTAAAGACCAAAGGAAATTAATTTTTATACTTACTGTTTAAAATTCATAAATTCATTAAAGCTTATCTTTTACCATAACCTGCAGCCATTGGCAATACTGCACAATGCACATATTAATGATGTAGTACTACAGAGTCATATTTAAATGTGACATTGAAAGAAACCTTTTAAAATAAACAGCTTTATTAAATTCTTTTTTCTTTTAATATATTTTTATTGATTTCAGGGAGAAAGGGAGAGGGAGAGAGAGATAGAAACATCAATGATGAGAGAGAAGCATTGACTGGCTGCCTTCTGCACGCCCCCTACTGGGGATCGAGCCCTTGACTGGAATCAAACCTGGGACCCTTCAGTCTGCAGGCTGACGCTCTATCCACTGAGCCAAACCAGCCAGGGCTAAATTCTTAAATATTTCACTCACTGAGTAATTTCTGGTTGCTTAGAGAATAAATCAGACACCCATCTGCTAAACCTCACCGCTAAGCTATATTGCATTGAAAACAACACAATGAGGAAATTAATTTTTATATCTTTTAAGCTTTCTAATTGAATCAAAGTCTATTATGAGTTCAAAGAAAAGGCCTTAAAGTTAGTGTGCACGAGGGCGTGTGCGCATGTTACATTGCTACATAGCTTTTCTTCAAAGCTAAATACTCTAATTTTTCTTGCTTGTCTACAACCATGAAAAACAACTCAAAAGTTGATGATTTAGTAATAACTGAAGTAAAACTAAGAAATTATCCTCAAATAGGAGAATTTTTAATATCTATCAAGTGCTTCACATACATGATCATATCAAATACTTTCGCAATTACATTTCCCAGAAACTGAATGTGCAAATCTACTTGCATATTCTCCTGACCAAAATGATGAAATACAGAATTAAATGTAACAAATGCCTTTTTAAGCCTCTAAAAAATCATACTTTTCTACTAGTATAGAAAAACTGTCTTACAAAGAAATTAATACACTCCTAATTTCAATCAACTTCTGATTGTTTCCTTACATTTTCAATGCTGATTTTCCTTAAATTACTACTTCTGATAAGAGAGCATATAAAATCTAGTCAGTTAAGAAACATTGAAGATTTATTATAGCTCCATTAAATTTTTTTCTTTTTTCTTTTTATATTTGAGCCAAGTAATTGCCGGTAATGGAGAAATACATACTTTCATATACTTAAAATTAGGATATTTTGATGCAGTCATTCTAATTCATTTTCCAATTCCATTATTTAAAAATATGAAAACATTATTTTCCACTAATAAAGAATTAAAAACATCTAAGAACATGTTTAAAAATCAAAGGTCCATGTAAGTCTGAAAACTTTTTTCTCTAAAACTAGATGCCAACAAGTAGAGGCCAAAAGTAGAGCAACTCATTGTGAATGTGCTAGCTTCCCAAAGCTTGTTTGCAGGTCACTTCATTGAAATTTGGAGTACAGTCTCCCATTTAAACAATGTTATAAATGCTGCTCCTTTTCCCAGGCCTTCCCACAAAAGCTCATAAGTAGTTTAAAAAGAAAATTAACATTAGATACTTGAAAACAAACAAACAAAAAAGGTGCTCATAAAAAAGATAGAAAATGTACCTCCTAAAGTCCCATTCTTACCTCTAAACCCCATATTTAATATGTAAGCTTTCTGTTGCCTACAAATAAGTCTCTTGAGAGACTTATTACATTATTAAAATATTTGGTTTTGAGGTCACTTGAAGTCTGTATTCCCCACTATTAAAAGTTTCCTTAGCCCCTCAAAGACAAACAACTACTGTTGAGCCTATATTATAAAATCGACATTTATAACACTGTATTTATTATTTGTAATGTTCTAGTTGTAACTTAGTATGCCAGAAACACATCTTTTGCCCCTGAAATGACATTATTTTGTGTTTGCTCTTGGCCAAGCACTGTTGTAGGTACTGGGAATGGGCTGAAAAACTCTGTAAGAAGACTAACAAGTGTCAAATTGCAAGGATGACAAATGACAAAAGGAAAGACTTTCAAGTCTTTTGGGGGAAGGGGAAGATTGACCTCGTCAGGGGGGCGGTCACAGTGGAGAGGCTTGAGCTGAGATTTTTGGCTTTAACAAACCCAGAGAGGAAAGAAAACTCCCCACCAGAGAAGGGCAGAGGGACCCCGGCAAGTTCACAGAAGGCCAGAGGGGGCTCCAGCAGAAGGAAGGAGGGCTGAAGTGGAGGTCAGACTATGCAGAATCGTATAGACTGTGGTAAAGACTTTGTCTTTATCCTAAGGTCACTGGGAAAATACTGAAATGTATAGACAGGGAGGTAATATGTCCAGATTTGGGTTTAAAAAATAATCATAATCAATTCCATTTTACCCCTGAAGAAACTGAAACTACAGAAATTCAGTAACCTGACCCACATCCACAGTAGTTTGTGACCCAGCTGGTATTTGAACAAGGTCTGTCAGACTCCAAAGCTTGGACTTCTGTCATTTTCTATACAACATCCCAGAGGTTGAGAAGCAGAAACAAAGGCTGCTCAGTGAAAACTAAGGTTTGCAGACAGTTCTCTCATCCCCTTTCCTCCCATCACCTGAACTAAGAGGTGAAGGAAAGACTTTCTCTACCAGCTTTCCTCTCAGTTCCCTTCCCCATCCACCTTTCCCCACCACATCACCCCACCAATCTTGCCTGGAAGAGGTGAGAAACCAGAATTAGTAGGGTTAGGGTCAGGATCAGGGTTAGGATTAGGGTTAGGGGGAAGGCATGAGTGAAGGATGATACAGAACTGCTATTCAGACTACCATGAAAGCCAAGAGTAGAGGGGTGGAGAAAGATAAAATGAAGGGCCTAATGAAAGTAATGTATGAAGTTTTCAACAATTTTTATACTAATTGACTCTGCAGTGGAACACTCTCTAACCAACAAATCAAAATAAGGAAACTGAAGTCTCTCCCAATCATAAATCACAGGTCCTTGGGAAGACCCTTCTATTTCACAATCAGTTTCTTGAGGACCTGGCTTGGGTCTGACTGCTCCGTTAGCAGCAACACCTTTGACATCCTACTCTCCTCTAATTCCCATATGTACACATGATCCTTTATTTCAAAGAAAACTTTTCCAAATAACTCATAAGTATTTTATTTTAAAAAATTTTTTTTATTGATTTCAGAGAGGAAGGAAGAGGGAGAGAGATACAGAAACATCAGTGATGAGAGAGAATCATGGATGGGCTCCTCCTACATGCCCCCACTCAGTATCAAACCCACAACACAGGCAGTGCCCCGACTCCCGTGTTCATAAGTCAATGCTCAACCACCCAGCCACACCAGCCAGGCAGTATTTTAAAATCTATAATAATAAAAGCATAATATGCTAATTAGACCAGATGTCCTTCCAGACAACCTTCTGGATGAAGCCGGGGCTGCAAGGAAGCCTGGGTCCCGGGTGCCAGAGGGAAGCCGGTGCCTGCAGACAGGGGAAGGAAGGCCTACTCTTGCACGGATTTCATGGATCAGGCCTCTAGTAATATATAACTGTTGGTTACATTAAACTAAATACTTTTAAGAACTATTTTACTATTAATCCCCCAGTATGTACCAGTGAAATCAGAATATGATTCTACGATCTTGTACTGTTAGGAATACAATTTATCTTTTCATTTGTCTTCTTTCCCCGGCTAAAGCTTATCTAAAAGACTAGATATTTCCTAGAATGTCTCAAGAGAATTTTTTTCTTATGATATTTATTTCTTTGATCTCAATTTTGTTTATTTTTAAAGATTCATTAGCATTCCCTAGAAACATTTTAGTTAAGTAAGGGGAGAAGCAACCTAAAAGTGCCCAGTAAAAAGAGATTAAAACCCACAAAGAGAAATTCAGTTCTGGCTCTTAAATTGGGTCAATATGTAAATGCAGTCAGTCTTCCAAGTCAGGCATTGTTTTGTACGGCATTTCAATTCCTACATCACTGCTCTAGCAGTTGTATTTTTTTTAACTTAAAATATTTATTGTTGAAAGTATTACATAGGTCCTCTTTTGCCCCCACAATCTCTTCTAGCCCACTACTCTAGCAGTTTTAATTAGATACTGTAGTTTGCTTTCTCAGCCACATATAGAAGGGTTTCTTAATGTGGGCTAATTAGCTGATCTGATTTCCTATTATTCATACCACATTAATTTTTCAGATTTTTAATAGATTTCTACCAAGTCTGTCATGTAATATTAAGTTGATATGACAGTGAGTAATTTTTAAAGAAATTATGCTGCAGCCCTGGCTGGTTTGGCTCAGTGGATAGAGTGTCGTCCTGGGGACTGAGGAGTCCCAGGTTCGATTCCAGTCAGGGGTGTGTGCCTTGGTTGCGGGCACATCCCCAATAGGGGGTGTGCGGGAGGCGGCTGATCAATGCTTCTCTTTCATCGATGTTTCTGTTTCTCTATCCCTCTCCCTTCCTCTCTGTAAAAAATCAATAAAACATATTTTTTTTTAAAAAAGAAATTATGCTGCAATCATCATTACCATATACAGGACTAAGCAGCAAGAAAGCCCAGTTTACTTTCCCAGCAAAGATTTCAGAATTCCTCTCTTTCTACCTGGTCACTGCTCTCAGCTCCTGAAAGTTTCCTCTGTTGTGGTGAACAAATGCTTAGAAAGGACCATGACATGCCATCTGGCAATACTTTCTCAAGTGGCTTTTGAAAAATTGTTTAAATACGATGGTTGAAATAATATTTTTCAAAATTATTTTTTAAATATATTCCATTTAAATACAAATATTCCCTATAAGGCCCAGCTAACATGCCACCAAAGACTCCTACAAACTGAGAGAAAATGGACTTACAAGTAATTATTTAGTGTACTTTAAGTATGATTTATAACTTTATAGTAAAAATAGTTTGTAAAAATATAGCACCTCTTTGTTGGTGATTGGAATGGATAGGAAATAGTTTGGTTGATAGTCTTTGTACTTTTTTTTCTTCTTCCTTATTTGATCTTTATATTCATTTTCTTCACTTCTTTCCAAATTTACTTGAGGTACATCAGTGACTAGAAGATAAAAATCAAACAATAATATACCTAATGTATTAAAACAAAGTTAATATAGGAAACAAAAACTATATAAGTATCAATCGTTCACAACTGTCATTTTCAAATCTAAAGCAGGAGCTGGCAAACTCTCTCACAAAGGACCTCAGAGTAAGTATTTTAGACTTTGCATATCATATGGTCTCAGTCAAAACTACCCACGTCTGTTGTAGACAGAACACAGATGAATAGGTATAGCTGTGTTCCAGTAAAACTTTCACAAACCAGCCAGCCACTGGGTCACAGTGTACTAACCTCTGATCTAAAACATGGCCAACCACCATTCTCACCTCTGTGCCACAAAATTCATGACCCCAGAAAACATTATTTTTTCATCAATCCTGTGTGACTCAATATGTATGACTACTTGTAGCAGTGCCACTCAAAGTTTGGTTTGCAGCCAATGTCACACTACAAGCTATTTGTTGTAAAAATTAAGAGACTACTTAGAAACACTCATAGCACTTAGGCGAAAGAATTTTGTCTATTGAATTTTGGTTTCTATTCTGTTGGTCATTTTTAAAACATTTTTCTAATAATTCATTTTTATTGCCTTTTACAAAAGTATCAGTGGGCAACAAATAGGAATTACAAACAAAACAAAACTGGTCCTTGACTGTACATAATTTCAGAAGCACTTAACGCACTTCTTTTTAAAGTCATATTCGAAAGACTCATTTATAACATTCAACAATTCTAATTATGAAGCTATGCCTCCAGAAATAATCACCAAATCAGTGTGAAATTGTCTTCTTTTTTTTTTTTTTTTTTTTTTACAGATTCTGCCTGGGGCTTCTATATGTATGCAAAACTACCATTAATTGAGTTTTCAGGCTGTGTCTTCCTGAACAGTAGCTTACTGTTCAAACTGGAGTGTCTCATAGAGACTTTGTAAAAAATACTAATTTATTTCCTAAGGTATGCTTTTGGAAAGGAGTGGGAGGGAAGACCCACCTAATTACATTTAATCTCACGGGTTGGTTTCATCTTTGGATCAATTCTAATAGACCACAGTGACCACCTGCACCCAATGCCTTGAGAAAGACTGGCAAAAGTCTGAGCTGACCCAATAGCATAATCCCCATGTGTCTACACAACCCGGATCTTACTAAGCCTCTCATTTCACATATGATGAAACAATAGCAGAAAATCCTTCAAACACTGCTCAGTATCACAGAGTTGATTCTGGAATCTAGACCTCAAGTCTCCTAGAATACTTTCTATTGGATCAAACTACTTCTCCGTTGCAGTTCTGCCTAAGTAGTTACTATTACACACAAAACTCGTCTTCCAACAAGCATTTTCCTATCAAGTCACTTCAATTCTTTATCTGAGAACCAGAAAGTCTGGCCTGTCCTTGGAGATATAGCTGATTCTAAGTCTGGGGCACAAAATGGATCAGAGCAGCCTGCAAATCAAAGACTCCTGGACCATGTCAGAAGTCTCTGGAGCATATTTGAAAGTTGCCGACATTGGCCAAAGATTAAACAAATTGAGCATCAAATAGAATAACTTCAATGATGTTATTTAAACATCAAATAAATTTAGAACCATCAGTTCAAGATAATAAACAAAAGAAAAATTAAAACCAAAAACTTACAGGTCACCTTTGCAGGAGTCTAAAGAACTATTATTCTAAAAATCTGATGATAAAGGGGAAAAATAAATCACACATTTATCCAGTCACTCTTTATGACCAAAGAGTTATAAAAGAAGTAAGTTAATTAAGGTAAAGTCCTTCTTTATAGAAATTTTCAGCTCATAAATGCAAAACAATAGAGTTAAAATATCACCATTTTGAAATACATAATAGAGCAATGGGATCAACCCAAAGTTCATCAATGAACAATCCATTAGATAGAAAGCTGATGGAAACTTTCATAATGGATACATCAGATGACAAGATAGAAAGCCACTGATCACTTCTAGCATCACAAAAAGGCAAGACAACCAAGCATTATGTGTCTCCTTATGTCACACAATAGTAAAATCAAAACATTTTTGCAGCATTTTTATTCCAAAACTTGAAAAAGCCTCCTAATATAACTACTAGTTAACTGTAAATATAAAGGACAGAGAAAGATGTTAAATGACCATAATAGGGTACTTCTACACAACCTGACTTCTTCGCCAATAAACACACACACTCAAACACACACACACTCACACACAAAGACCTATCGATGAAAAGAGATAAAAGAGATGTGTCAGTTAAATATAATCATAGACTTTGGTTCCTAATTCAAACCAGTTTTTAAAAAATTATGTCAAAGTAATGTGAATGCTGACATTTGATGACTTAAGGAATTACTGTTATTTGTTAGTATGGAAAGGATGCTTTGGGTAGTTTTTAAAAAGGAATATCTATAAAGATGCACACTACAGTTTTGACAGATAAAAATTATATATCTGCAATTTATTTCAAAATAACCCAGTGAGAAAGAAGTAATGAACATGAGACTTATTATAATATTCTACTTTTGACTATACTTAAAAGTCACACACACACACAGACACTCCAGAGGCAGGGGAGGGACAGATAATCTCCATCTAGGGTTAGTTATAGAATTCTGTGATCTGTGATAAAGGTACTAACTGTTAACAGCTGTACCAATTAGCACATTTGGTGGTGAAGTTAAAAAAGACTGGTGTCCAAACTAAAATTAACATAGTAGAAAGAGGATCCTAAACCTATAGTCTAGTTTTTATTTTTTTAAATTCCAAGTATAAACCTACTCATGGGTTATGAAATCATCTTAGGAAATAATAAAAAGGCACTTTTTAAAAACTGAAATGGAATGAAAAGTAATGGAATAGAATTACTATAGGATAGTGCATTGCTTATGGTAAGTTTAAGTATTACTTCATGAAATTTGAGCTTTTTGCATGCACATGTGTATTGGGTAGAAATGTAAAATATATTTATTTCTTATTATGAACATAAGACACAGAAACATTTTTGCTATATTTTACTCAATATGAACAATACTAAGAAGGGAAATAGACCTAATAACATGGTATTTGAAAGGGCACTGAAGCTTTCAGCATTTTAAATTGTTTTATACCTTATCTATTTAAAACTAAACTGTCCTGCTCTCTATAGCAACAATCTTTGCATTTCAAGCACTCCATAAGACCAGTTTGCAGACATACAGAGAAGAAAAACCATAATCTCTGAAGATAATACTCTTTTTTTTATCTGAAGTTAATACTCTTAGTTGTAATGTATCACAACTCTAACAATTCTGGCATCATGAGAATGACATAGCATAAAAACCCCAATCCTCGGTAAAAATAAGTACAATGTTTCTCTAAATTCCCTTAGTTTTCTATAATCTTACCAATAATTAACTTTCATTTGAACTGGATTAGCTAAAATTTTCTTTTGGTAGGCATCACAGCCAGGGCAAAATTTGAAATTATCTGATGACAGCTGGATAAAAAAGGAGATAAATCCTATGAGTGTTTTTGCTATAGTGGCTTTATTTAACCTTGTAATATATCTGTTTTATTTTTAATTCAGAGAGTCCTGCTGATTTACCTACTGAACCCAGTATCTATTTTTTTTTCCTCTTTATCCATCTTTGTCTTTTTGCTGTAAAGCTTATTTGTATGGCCAGAATATAAATCCCCTTTTTCCTTACTGAACTTCATTTTATTTCTAACTTTGAAATCATAATCTAAGTTCCAACATATAATTTGCTACTACTCTTTTTATTTAGTCCATATGAAAATACAATGAACAAAGTACTCATATAATATCTAGCAATGTTCATGCATAGGATAAGAACACTCATAAAACAACTATAAGAATGCATTGTCACAAACAATGCAGATACAACACTAAAATTACTGAGTACTATTTTTAAAAGAAATTGCCAAGAGATCAACTAAAGGACTTGTATGCATGCATATAAGCATAACCAATGGACATAAGACACTGGGGGATAGGGGAGGTTAGGGGACTGTCTAGGGCGGGGGGATAAAATGGACACATATGTAATACCCTTTGTAATACTTTAAGCAATAAATAAAAAAATAAAATAAAATAAAATAAAATAAATAAAATAAAAAAAGAAATTGCCAATCTGGTAGGTTATAATCATATTTTAATGTGCACCCTTTGATACTTATGAAGTTGAATAACTCTCCATACATTTGCCTACTAACTGAACTTTATCTTCTACAACCTTTGCCCAGCACCAATAATAGTATCTGGTACATAGCAGGCATTCAATAATTATGTGTTCAATGAATTAGTGTACCTATTATGCTTTTTTAATTTTTGTTTTCTTGTGTGTGTGTGTTTTTTAAGGGGGGGAGAGTAAGATATCAATCCTTAGTATCATTTGGGCCAAATATTTACTTTAAGCCTTTCAAAATAAAATTTGGACTTTTCTTCCCCAATCAGTTACAGAAAGGAAACAGAACATAATTTACCTTTTTAAAAAACTGATTCAGGATAATACCGGGATAGCAATTCAACTTTATTTGATGCATCATTTTTCTATAAAAAATATTTTCAGGTACAGTAAGTTTCAACTGATATATTAAAATACTTAATAGTTGAAGTATTTTTAAAAATACAACTTAACAGTATTAGATAATAAGTAATGCAATGATAATTTCTCACATCTCTGAAATCTCTAATAACTACAAGGTTTGAATTCTGTGTGAGGTAAAATAAGGACTGTAATCATTTCAATGTGAGAACTAAATTCCACAATGAGGAAAGACATGTTGCAAAAAAACAAAAACAAAAAAAACTCACTCAAATTTTTTATCTTGAATCTTGATTAAATATGGCTTGAGAGTTAAAGGCTGCGGTTCTCTTAAGGGAATAGAGTCCAATAAACTAAAGGCCTCTACAAATTTATACTTTATGGGAAGCACATTAAGCCATTCTTGTCAGCAACAGAATGACTCTCCCTTGCATACTCCCATTCAGCTTTCAGAAGCAGGGCAGCAGCAACCCCATTTTCTGGGTGGTTTACTGGGGGGTATAACCTATTGATCAATGACACCCCTCCAGTAAAGCAAACAGACCCTTCCAGGCCCAGGCCAACAACTCACTAATGCTGCACTTTCTCCCAGGACATGTCCACCCGGTAAGGCCAGAGGTGTGGCTCAGGTTGTAAGGCTTCCTACATATTTCTACAATTTTCTTTTCTATATACATTTGAATATTTTATTTGTAATAGATACTTATATCCTAATAAGTATAACAAATATATTTACATTTAATTCTAATGTAATATTCTAATACATTTCATATTCTAACATATAATCCTAGTAAAATAGTCTCTTCTCCAAAACAAAACTAAAAAAGAAGTGAAGACTCATTTCAGCCAACTAGGCTGCATTTCACCTAGTGACACTGCACCCACACTGAAGGTAACGCAGTTGACAACTGAGACACTCAGATCAAACATTTGGGGAGGAGTTTTCTTACTGGCAAGGATTCGCCTTCCCACGGTGTTCTTGGTAGCACTATTTTCCCCACTGCTCTGCCAAGGTTTCAACCAGCAAGAATTTCTTGGCAGTTAATTCACAATTTCCACCCACCAAAGGAAAAGGAATGAACCAAAGGCAGCAACCAGCTACTTGAGAATTTTAAGGTTGTTGTCTACCACGGAGCCATTCCACTGATTCAATGTCCACGTTACTAAATGTAAGAGAAAGCCCCAAATCATTTCAAGCTACCAACTAATTATTCTGTGTCTGGACACAAACACTGTAACTATATCTATCTTAAGGTTTAAGGGTTGACAATAAAAATCCCAATTTTTATGTATTTCTATACAAATCTCTCTTCACAAAAACGAGTTAGTTTCTGGTTTGCAAAGAATTTTACTATTTGTTCCTTAGTGTTTTAGTAAATGCTATTATAAAAATGAGCAAACAAATAAAGGATATGTCTCAAAGGTTTGATACGTAGCATTTACACATATTTTATATTTTTAATTGCCTTTTCCCACACATTACCTCTTTTGATCTGTACAGCAACACCATGTGAGGTAAACAAGCGAAAATTATATCTCACAGTTGAAGAAGTCCAGCTCACAAACTGGACATTGTACCCAATGTCATGCAAGTAGAAAATAAAATAACCAAAACCTAAAACACAAGTTTTCTGTCTCTCTCATTATACCACACTGACTGTGTGTAAGTTGGGAGTTTGAACTCAATCTTCCCACAAAAGTAATATTATTCATGGTGGTCTAGAGTCTAGACCAGTGGTCGGCAAACTCATTAGTCAACAGAGCCAAATATCAACGATTGAAATTTCTTTTGAACTTAAACTATATAGGTAGGTACATTGTTTTTTAAACTTCAACTATATAGGTGGGTACATTGTTATTAACTTAATTAGGGGACACCTAAGCTGGCCTTTGCTAAAAACATCCTCAATCTGAGGGGTCGACCTCAGCGAACGTACCCCCACTTCTTCTAACGCCACTTCTTCAAAATAGACTTGCCCAGGCCGAAAACCGACTTCTGCGCATGGGCCACGAAGTTTCACTCGTACTGTACGTGCGCGCCCGCACATGGTATTTTATGGAAGAGCCACAGTCAAGGGGCCAAAGAGCCGCATATGGCTCGCAAGCCGCAGTTTGCCGACTGCTGGTCCCAGTGGTCGGCAAACTCATTAGTCAACAGAGCCAAATATCAACAGTACAACAATTGAAATTTCTTTTGAGAGCCAAATTTTTTAAACTTAAACTATATAGGTAGGTACATTGTTATTAACTTAATTAGGGTACTCCTAAGGCTTAGGAAGAGCCACACTCAAGGGGCCAAAGAGCCGCATGTGGCTCGCGAGCCGCAGTTTGCCGACACGGGTCTAGACTAACCTACAAAGACTTTTAACTCACAAAGTCTGAGCTATCAAAAAGTGGCTATAATACTCTATGCCTAAAAATGGACGTCCATGGGGTGACCCTAACTTACATGGATGAGATCATTTCCTTGGTAATAAATACACCATATAGAAAAGACCCCTATTCGGATGAAGCATTGGCCAATCTTCCCAATGCCCATCCTCTGAGGAAGCAGCTGTACCTCAGAGCAGGAATGCACTGCAGAATCGCTGACACATCTATTTCCTTCTTTCTGCCCCCAGTGGCCAGTTTCTCCTCACCGGTGAAGATATAAGAATACAGTGGAGCTCTTGCCGGTTTGGCTCAATGGATAGAGTGTTGACCTGCGGACTAAAGGGTCCCAGGTTCGATTCCAGTCAAGGGCACATGCCTGGGTTGAGGGCTCAATCCCTAGTGGGGAGCATGCAGGAGGCAGCCAATCAATGATTCTCTCTCATCATTGATGTTTCTATCTCTCTCTCCCTCTTCCTTCCTCTCTAAAATTAATAAAAATATATATATTTTTTTTAAAAAGAATATAGTGGAGCTATAGAAACACTAGATGCTCTCTGGGATTCTGGAGCTATCACTCTCAATCTCTAGTAGAAGCCGTTTGTTTCACATAGATTAGATCTGTATAAGAAGTACTGATAGCTGAAACGGTGAACAAGTTTCACTTCTTGTTCCAGTCTAACTTATGAGCACTTGATGGGTGTGATTCAGAGACTGCAACAGGGATCAGAGGGGAGAAGAGTGGACGGGCACAGCACTTAGGCATGATTATTCAGGAGCTTTCTTCTTTATTGTGTATCTAACTTAGAATAATGAAATCAGAAAGAAGTGATTGTAATTTTTAGATATATTCATTTTATTGTTCAAAAAGTAGGGAATTAAGAGGAAAACATGATTAAGTCATTGCAATTCTTGCCTCTCATTTCCAAAAGGTATCTTCTCCTACTTACCAGGCACACATACTAATTCTTCAAACGAAGGTTTCTCTGACAGCCATGAAAACCACAAAAGCTGTTCCCTACAGGCCGGCAGCCATGAAAACACAAAAACTGTTCCCTACGGGCCGGCTGTAAAGGAACAGATGGGAATCCCATGTCCTGACTGAGCAAACAACTCTTTCTCCTTCCCTTTCTTTGGATTATGGAATAGGAAACACTGACTAATAAGGTACCAGAGATTTCATACATTCTAAGCATCCCTTACTCCTTATATCTCCCCAAAATATAAACCAGGTTTCCAGTATGGGAAGAGACTGTGACAGTGTGGCTTCTGAGACTGGCTGAGCATCAGAAACACATGGGATGTTTAAAAATAAAACAAAGAGGTTCCACCTGACACAGAGGTGGGAAAGAGGAATCTGTAATTTCATATCACTCCACAGAAAATTCTGATGATCAGTTAAGATCGAGACAGCATAGAGGAAAGAACCCTGGATAGTTCATACTCAGCAGCCAGGCGACCTGTACTGTTCCCAAACCTCTGGGAAGCCTTCCAGGACACCCTTTACGCCCACATCCAGGTTATACGCCTCCCCACACACATCCTCACCCATGTATTCCCACAGCATCCTGGATGTCAAACACCTTAGGAAATCAGAGCTCTTAACCTTTTGGCTCTCCACTGAAGCTTTTAAATCTAGATAATCATTAATTAACAGTCCAAACTCAAAAACATGACAGGTATATAAGGTGAATTTATTAAGGAAAAAATATATATCACTAAGTTGAATATTTATTTAATAAAGTACTTACTTCCACAATCATCTTTAATATCTATAGTAGCAAGTGGCATATCTACCAGAGAATCCATAGTATTGGCTTCAAAATCTTCTGACATTTTCTTTCTCCCCGCCATATTTTCACACTCAATGAAATTCACTTCTTCTTTAGCATACCACAAAAAAGAAAAACATGTTATTTAATTTTAAACTTATATGCTAAGCTAAAACAACTCAACTAACTAAATTCAATAAAAGTTAACATGTTAAACTCCCAGAGAAAGTCTACTCCTGATCTAAAAATTCATTTTTGGGGTAAAGAATTAAGGGTCCAAAGGCTGTAACAGTTCATGAGGGCAGAGGGAGCCAGCCTGGCACTGGACTCTGCCCGTCCACAGCTGACAGATTCCAACAGGAAGTGTATTTAAATTCTCTGTAGACAATGCTGGGCAGGGAGGGGAGGGTGGGTTATGATGATACAGGCTACTGTGTTTTAACCAGTGGTTGTCGGGCAGGGGTGCCTGGAGGAAACCAAGTCACTGTTCCCTTTTTGAAACAAAACTAAAACCTGAAAATTTTTGTTCAGCGAAAATGGGTATAATTTGATTGTCCCTAGCCACAAGGGGCCAGTTCCACTGAGAAATGAACAGTGGGGACTCAAAATTTTGCAAACATTTGGGGCAAGGGGCAATTGGCTTTCTGTTAATTGGCAAATGTTCCAATGGGGCTTCGTTTTTTGTTGGGGAGTATTACATTGTAGGTGCACATGTGGACCAGAGTCTCTGCTGAGGTTATAAAACTCAGAAAAGATGGTTGATAAAATCTTGACTTTTGTTAATTTATCTCAATAAAGCCCACTGGAACTGAAAAAAAAAATTAACATGTTAAGAAATGATACCCTTGACATTCCCCCGAATGTCAAGGGCGGGGGGTGGAAAAAAAGGAGACATATGTAATACTCTTTGTAATACTTTAAGCAATAATAAAAAAAGAAATGATACCACTTGTATCCAAATATATTGTAAAACTACTTATATAATGTGTCCCAGAGTCTATTTTTTTATAAATGCATTTTTATGTTAAATAACGTTAATAATTTTCTATAGAACTGTATTCAAATAAGGGTAAGATGAAGACTTAGTTAATCAATAATCCTCGAGATCATTTATAGCTATATTTTCTTAATTCTAAACCTATACTTTTTCACATACCTTTTGAAAACAAACCAACAAGGTTTTGTCAGTCTTTTTCATGTTTACTTTTTAACAACTATCACTATGTATTCTCATTTGTATAAGTTCTGACCTTTATTTTTTTTCTTTAATAAAGACTTTTAAATCTTTCCTCTCCATTATTATATTAACACTGGAAATTCAGTAAAAAATATTTGACTCTAAATATGCTTTCCTGGAAATTCAATGATTAAAAAGCGAAAGATCTTGCTCTGGCCTGGTAGCTCAGTTAGAGTGTCATCCAAATACCCCAAGATTGCAGGTTCCATCCCCTTTCAGAGCACATACAATAATCAACCAGTGACTGCATAAATAAGTGGAATAACACATCAATGTTTCTCTCTCAGTCTTTCTCACACTCTCTCTCTCCCTTCCTCTCTCTAAATTCAATAAATAAGTAAATAATCTATACTAATAATAGAAGAATATGCAAATTGTCCCAGACACCATCACAGTAATAGTAATGACCAAGCAGCAGACTGCGTGGGGTGACCAGGCCAGCAGGGGGGTTAGTGAGGGACGACCAAACGACTGAACAGCAGGCTGTGTGGGGCAATCAGCCCGGCAGGGGGGTAAGGGACAACCAAACGACTGAACAGCAGGCTGCGTGGGGAGACCAGGCCAGCCAGGGGGTGGGGGGCAGTTGGGGGCAACCAGGCCAGTGGGTGTGGGGGGGCAATTGGGGGCGACCAGGCCAGCAGGGGGTGCAGTTAGGGATGATCAGGCAGGCAGGCAGGTGAGCAGTTAGGAGCCAGCAGTCCCAGATTGGAAAGGGTGCAGGCTGGGGTGAGGAGACGCCACCCTCCCCACTCCCCCCCCCCCATGAATTTCGTGCACCGGGCCTCTAGTTTTAATATATTTTTATTGATTGCAGAGAGGAAGAGAGGATAGAAACATCAGTGATGAGAGATAATCATTGATTGGCTACCTCCTACACACCTCCACTGGGGATTGAGCCCTCAACCCAGGCATGTGCCCTGACGGGGAATCGAACCATGACCTCCTGGTTCATAGGTCAATGCTCAACTGCTGAGCCATGCTGGCTGGGCTAAATTTTTTTTTTTTTTAAGGCAAAAGATCTTATAATTTACTATGTGTCTAATCATAAGCTCACAACTATTTGAAATTTGTAAAAACCAGTCACAGTTTCCTTTCTATTTTTATGCTTGCATTGAACACTACAGTTTATACTTAACATAAAAGTTTTAATAGAGCAATACAAAAGTTTTAATAGATAAATGAATACCTTTTACCTTTGGGCACATACAACTACACATAACGGATCATCACTGACCATGTAGCATACAGCTGCAAAGCAAGCAACAAAGAGTAGTAGTTGTGCAACTGAATATGCACAAGGTTGTCCTAGTTGAAAAACTCTAAATCCTGGCTGCCCATTAGAATTGCCTGAGGAAGTTTTTTAAATTACCAGCGTCTGGTCCCACACCAGGCCAGCTAACTCACAATCTCTGGGGATCAGGCTGGCTTCCAGTGGTTTTTTTTTTTTTAAAGCCTCGCAGGGTGAGTCTAATGTGCAATGAAAGTTTGAAAAACACTGCCCCAGAAAATCCCTTCACCTCTTCAATTCTTTGTTTCACCTCAGACTAAAGAGACTGTGTTAACAGTTGAGAACAATCCATTTAAAGGTAAAAACTCAAATCAGATATTTACTATCAGTGAAAACTTTCCTGATCCCCAACTCAGCACCAAGTCAGGTAATTCAGTCTCCTGCCAGGTACTTAGTGCTTCCTCCTGTCACAGCACAAACATCCTGTTTTAGATGTCCACAGGTCTGTCTTAGACTCTAAGCTAAAGGGACTATATAGTTTACCACCCAAACCCAGACACTTTTGGAAGTGAAAGGGGGAGCTTTTCATAATTACACCCCTATCAATATGGTCGCCTTAGTCTAAGCTCCTTAAGTGCCCTGTCTTATTCTCCTATGATTCCTCAATGCCTACAACAGTGTTCAGTTCACAGGAGGTGATCAATACATTTGTACTGAATGACTAAATAAAGGTAAGCACACATTTGGGAGTGGATGATAAATTACTCAAGATACCCTGCAATATAGATATCTCAATGCCCATGAGGAAATAACTCCTGGTGTTTAAAGGCAGCTCCAGCACATCAGATTCTCATTTTCACAGGGTGAGAAGGAAAGGTACTACTATTCTATACAACATAAAAATATTGAAGCATAATATGACTTGCTCAACATCATTCTCCATCTTTTTTCCACTGATTTTTAGAGAGAGTGGAAGGGAGGAGGAGAGACAGATAGAGAAACATCAATGTGGGAGAGCCACATCAATTGGTGGCCTCCGGAAGGGGCCTAACCAGGGCCAGGGATCAAGCCTGCAACCGAGATATGTGCTCTTGACCAGAATCGAACACAGGACCCTTTAGTCCACAGGCCGATGCTCTATCCACTGAGTTGAGCCAAACCAGCTAGGGCCATTCTCCATCTTTTTAAATAAAGCATATTAACAATGCATACTCTTGAATGCAATGTTATGTCAAAATACACAAGTCTAGAATGTGAAATATAAACTTTATTCCATTAAATTAAAGAATACTTGAAACCATTTTGTAGATATGTATTATTAACTCAGGAAAAAGTCCATTCCACTTCCAAGTAACTCTTGAAAGAACTGCTGGTCATTTATAGAGCAATTTTTCTCAACCTAGAAGCCTTCCTCCAATTCTCTAAGCTTTAGTGTTAGGCAAAAGCTAGCAGACATGACTTAAACACATCCATCATAACTACACTTTCTTTTACAGAAGGTGTAAATATTTTGCTTTTGGAAAACTGCCTTAAAATAACTGACCCTTAAGTAAAGCACTTAAACCATAAATTGATTGCTCTGAGTACTTAAAATTTGTTCTAGCCATATTTAAAATAAAATTCCATCTTTTGTGCAAGTCCAAATAAAAGCAATGCTTCTAAGGGCACTAATAACACAAAGATGAGGTCAAACTGGCAAACTACTACCACTAACAACAGCTAACATGGAGCCTGTACTATATGCCAAGCACAGCCAGAAGCACTTTACAGACAGTAACTCCTTTCATCCACAGAACCATGCTATCAGGGAGGTGCTATTATTTTACTGATTTTTACAGACTAGCCAATTAAGTAACTTGCCCAAGGTTACAGCCAGGTCTGGGGTTGGAATTTAAGTCCAGTCATTCTGCTGCCAAACCTGCTCCTTCCAGCAACATGTACCGCCGCCTCTTAACAGACACAGTTTATAGCGCTGTAAATTGAAGTAATCCTTTCAGAAAGCAGTCTGGCAACAGACCAGGAGCCATGAAAATGTTCTTCTTACTGCTACATCTGGGTATCTATCATATACAGTATGCTGCCATAGATTCCCCACAGCTTTGTTTAAACAAAAAAGAAAAAGTGGAACCGCTTAAATGCCTAATATGAATATGGTCACACCAAGCATACTCACGCTAATGACAACTAAGAGTAATGGCTACGAAGACTGCAACAACCAAAAAAAAAAAAAAAAAAAAAGTTGATACCAAATACTGACTTTTTAAAAAGCAAATATAATACTATGATTACAATTATGTAAGAAAGGACTAAAGGATATAAATATCTAAATGCTGACATAGTTGTCTTCAATGTATTTGTATTTTCCCACTTTCTGCTATTCAAATGTTTTTAAATATAATTAATATTAATTTTGTAAGAAAATAATGTATACACATAAAATACATTATAAAACCATACATTAACTATAGACTAATATTCAAATACATGTGCACTTCAGCAAATGAGTTCATCATAGACAGGCCAATTGGGGATGGGGGGTAGGGAGGACACACAGTTTGCTCTTTGTCACACAAATGCAAGCTTCCTATCTATACTAATAAAAGGGTAATATGCGGATACTATGCTAATTAGACCGGGTGACTGGCCATCTTCCGGACATCCGACTTTTCTTCTGGACAAAGCCACAGTGGTGGGGAACGGAGGCGGAAGCGGTTAGGGGCCATCAGGCCGGCAGGGGAGGGCAGTTGGGGGCCACCAGGCTGGCAAGGACATCCCCCAAGGGGTCCCAGATTGGAGAGGGTGCAGGCCGGGCTGAGGGACACCACCCCCTGTGCACGAATTTCATGCACCAGGCCTCTAGTTTAAATAATAAAGCCTGACTTTATTAAGCCAGACTTCTATTTTTTCTGCTAGATATACACATTGGGTATATCCCCCAAGAACCAATGGAAAGGGTCCAAGCCATCCATGCTAGTCCTGGCTTAGCTAGTAAAAATAGTAACATCTTTCATCTGGATAAAGGCTGAGAACTATGCAACAATCAACAAGTGACTTGTCCTCCATGCTTTGGTTTCTTCATCATAAAAGTAAAAGTACAGTCCAGTGTCTAGAGAGAAATGGACAAAATAAGACAATAATATTTGAAGAGAAATGTAAGGGAACAGTAACCTCCCCAAACATCTTAAACTTTAAAATGAGTATGGAAAAGCCCAGATAAGCTATCTCAAAAACTCAAACTCTCTAAACCCACCCACAAGGCCTTAATCATTTCATTCCCAGGACAATTGTAAACATAAGTACTTACACCCGTTAACAGCTATTATATAATACAATTAACATTGCAATGCTTTTTAGCTCTCTGTACGCCTTTACAAAGAGCTCACAGAAGAGCACCTTTTCTCTAATTGGGAGCTCTATACGCCAAGTTCTAGTCACAGAGGATGCACACTTCAGCTGGAAATAGATTCTGAGTCCTACCACTGACTTGGCGCCAGTTTAAAAAGGTGCTTTTCAAACACTTAGGATAAAATCCTCAACGACACTCTGTGGTCAGGTCTTTCACGTGTGTGAGATAGGATAAAAGAGGAGCGTCTCTGAGTGTAGTGCTGCTCAAACACCGGAGGGTGTGTGTTGCCGTGAAGTCGGTACTAGGGTGACAAGATCAGACGGGAAACGCAATTGAAACTTGGGGTGGTCCCATCGCCCCCGTCGCACCCACAGTGCATGCACTAAAGCGCTTCGCGACGAACAGCACCGATCCCGCCGGCTCTGGGCTCCTCCGAGCTAAGCGGAGGGAGAGGAGCATCCGCGCGGGGCGGGCGTGGGGTCGCGGGGCGAAGCGGGCCCTCCCCAAGGCCGAGCTGAGCGGGGCCCACGCCCCCAGGCTCCGATCGCCCCCCTCAGCCGCTGGGCAGCCCCGGCTCACCCGCTTCGGGGCGCTCCATGGTGCCGGCGCGAGCGGGTCTAGCGTCCCTGCAGGCGGCAGCCTTAGTGGCCGGGCTCGGCGGCCCCGGGCTGGGCGCGCAGCGGAGGCGGAGGCCGAGGCCGAGGCCGGGGCGGGGCGGGGACCCAGGGGGCGGGGCGCCGGGGCGGGGGCCGCCGTGGGCGGCCTGAGCTCGGGCCGCGGCGAGCTGGCCTGCGTGGGCACCGAGCCCCGCGAGCCGCAGTCCCCGCAGGAGATGCATGGCCCAGGCCGGGCGCCCGGAAGGAGCGGAAGGGGCCGCCCCGACGCGCCCGTGGTATCCGGATTCGGGCTGCGCGGGTTGGGAGGGGCTGGGGAGCGGGGCCTTCTCTCGGCCCCACGAGGCTCGGTCCCCGCCTTCGCCCCCGGAGCGGAACGGACCCCTGCAGCCTTGGGCTGCCCTCAGCCATTTCCCGTGGCCCGGCCTTTCCCGTCCCACGCTTTGAGGGGTGACATTGGGACCCGGCTGAAAGCATTTCCTGGCGTAGGGTCTCCTGAGGATCCCTGTGTTTAGTTTTGCAAAGAGCTTTCAAAACACAGATCTCTGATTACAAAATATTTGGAAAGAGCAAGCTGTATAGGAACGATGCCTTGACCATCTGTAGTGTCGGATATTTTATTTTGCTTTTTAAAAACCAAATTGTGGCAAAGTATCAAATTTTTTAACAATGGTTTATGCCTACAAATTAAATGGGAACTGGCTATGGGTTATTGCAGGTTAAAGCACTGGTGTGAGTAAAATGGAAGAAAGAGCAATTTAATTATTTAAAAATTATTTTGGCCTTGGTACAGAATTATGAGTTTTTCTTTTAAGTACAATGAAACCATGCACTGAGAAAATTAGGTACATCTCTCAACAAATTAATCTAGCCTTTTTCGCGTAACACTTGGCTTATTTTGAATGTATCCTAAAATGGGGATGGAAGCAAAGACCTCAGTACAACAACAGATCATACAAATTAAGTCATAAAGCTTGTTACTCTCATATTAAAATAATTCTAGCAAGTTGAGTATTTGGTTTGCACACCTAAAGAAATTGTGGGCTGATTAGAAAGGTACATACAA